CCAGATGCTAGCAGAAGTTAATTTTCTGCATTAAATGTGATAATATAAGACAAGCTGTCCTGTCTGGTGAAACTAATCCAATAATGCGGTCATTGATACCTCAAAAACAGGGACACAGAAAAGTACTGCTGTGCTCAGCCTTCATGCAAATGCACTTGTAATGGGTTCAGTGCCGGATGTCTTTTAGAAAGCTACGAGGAAAGTGGAGGCAACATAGGGAACAGAAGCAGATAGATTAAAACATTGAAATTATGGAATAAGGTATACTTCATTAAATGGAAGTTAAAATGAAGTGTGAAAAAATGCTGTTTTGAATTCTGATGAGCTATTCAAGGTTATGTGAGGAAAGGTAAAAGGAATAAGGGGGAAAAAAAAGTGTGTGATAGCAAGATCTGTTAGGCTGTACAATGATCTCTGCAAGCAGAGGTAAGATGAAAGATGATGGACCTGTTGTTTCCATACACCTAAAACTAGACCAGGCAATACCAAAGAAAAGGTTCTTGAAGGAACTCTTTCAAGGGCTACTCGTCCTCCAAAATTTACTGAATTCATTTTGCCAGGCATTGGACAGTGTAGGACTGTAAAACCCTTCAGGTAGGGACCATGTCTTCATAAAACTCTGTGTTCTTATTTTTGTGGCTGGTTTGGATGGATACATTAGATGTGGGAGGATGCTGTGATCTGTAGAAGCGCATTAGGAAAATGGAAAGAGTGATGGAAACAACAGGGAAACGTTACCAGATTGAAACAGATTAAAAGTGCAGAAAAATGGAGTGAGGCTAAAGAGATTTTTGTAAATCAAGCAAAAAGCTGAAGTGGGGAAAAGAAAGGGAGGAGAAGGATGTAGTGGAAAGTGAAGGTGTCCGTCCTACCTTACGGTAGAGGGTTTAAGTTGGGACTGGCAGACCATGTGCAAGTCTCGGTTTTGTTAGAAATTAATAATGGAGAGAAGTAAACAGTCCTGCAAGGAGAAGAAAGAATAGCAGGAAAGCAGGCAGGTGACAGCTTTCCAGGGCTTGCTGGCGGAAGGAGGAGAGATAGGGAAGAGGAATGTGTTGAGGGCTAAGCCACAGCTGAAGGACCTGCTGATGGCTGGAGTCTGCTCTGTGAGACGGGGCAGCTGTGGTGATGGTGAGGGCACGTGAGTGTGGAGGGGGAGCTCTTTGGGTGCTGGAACTACACTAAATGAAGAGCTGTCTGAGCACGGGGAAAAGGGAGGAGGTTTACCGTTGTTTTAAGGTAAGAGACTAGAGCCAGAAGGGGTCCATACCAAAAGCTTTCAGTGTAGTGACTGCTCTGATGAATGGAGGCGAGGAGCTGCAGGGATACCAGTAAGTCCTGATGCCAACTTGAAAAGACCATCTATACTTGTCTCATTATCAAGGGGGAAGAAAATTATCCTAAATTAGGTTTTTGGGATTCTTCCAGATGAATGAGGTTTAGGAGAGGCATCATTGTACCACCCTTTTTTCTCCGATGAAATGACTGCAAAAATAAAAGCTGTGTAGGGAATGAAAAAGGAGCAATTGCAAGAAATAGGTATGGCTCTGTGTGGGGGTCTCTTGCTCTTGCCAGTGGCATGTATTTGTTAGTGCTGCCAAACAGACTTTTTATGAGCAGAATATAACACATTCGTGAACTGGCAGAGAGCCAGGTGATAGATTACTCAGCACAGAGCCCTCTCCTGTCAAGAGTTCGCGTTATATGCCTGCTTTCATTGCGCAGGTTATAAACCCATAGGTCTCATGTTCTACTTTGCCTTCATAAGGAGTAAGCTTAATGGGAAATTGGAGAGATGGCTACTTGCTTTATCTTCCTGCTTGCATTTGATAAGAGTTGTAGTTTCTGGTGAGTGAAGTACTGCCCTGGAATACAGTGTTCTTCCCCAGAAACCTTGATGATATACCAGTTGATTTCACTGTGAGTGGGAGTAAGACCCAAGTTGGACACAGAGAATGAAATTTAGCCCTTTGTAAACAGGCATATATCCCATTGAAACTGATGGGGCTTGTGACTTGAAACAAATCTGATTTGCCTCACGTAGCTCAATCCAAATGCAGTCTGTGGTACGGCAGATAATGGAGACCAATGTTTTACTTCATCGTCCCTGAATATGTATGAGGATAAGATCTGATAGATAATGGGTAACTGTTGAAACTTCTCACAATAGAAGATTCTTTTTGAGGAGGGATTTTAATGCAGTTAAATAAGTAATCAAAAGTCTTAGAATGTTTCAAAATGTTTTATCCCTTTCTGCTCTTGTTACTCTTTGGCACCACTTTTCTTTTAAGATGTTCCTATGAATGTCTTATGCTAAGCAAGAATCAATGCATGATCTGAGCATGATGCACTTAGAGCCCGATGGCTGCTGTATCAAGATGGATGAGTCCAGGCGCTGGTTAAGGCTTAACTCACTTACATGGCTGCTATCTTTATTGCCAAAAGAGGATGGATGTCATGCTAAATTATATTGTACTCTGGGCCTACTAGCACTTCCCTAATGATACTGTAGGGAGCTCTCTGCTTCCCCCTTGCTTTTACTGCTTATACTAAGGTGCCCGAGAGGTCTGCTTTCTCTGTGAGGAAAGAGGTTATGCTAGAAAACAGGCCAGAGAAAGGAACTCCTAAAGGAAAAAGGGACGTAAGGATTGGAATTATTCTTGATACTCTTGACTTAGCAGCAGATATCGTAGGTGTTACCTAGCACACCTCAAGTTCGAGATATTTGCTTCCCTCAAATAAAAGCTGTCTGCATTACAAAACCATTGCACATAATTCTGCGCAGCTTGATATGTAACACTCACTGCCTTTGCAGAATAAATGCTCAAGGATAAATCTAGCATGACAAATAAATCGCCTCTTGCTCTCCTCAGCTCTTTCAGGTGAGGCAGAGCTATAATGTAAAGTCAGCTAACGCGCAGACCTGGCAGAAAAATGGATCTGTTTTTCCTGCGTTAGGCATGTCATCAGAGGACATACTTGAGACAACTCTATTACAGGTCCAGTTGAATCAATAAGGCATATTCATTTTTTTTCCCAGATTACTCCTCTTATTCCATTTCATAAATTCCTATTTTTAACAAGAGAAAAGTAAGCAGATATTATTCAGTACAATGTTTCATGTCATACAGATCTCCTTTTCTGGCATGTTGCTGCTTGAATAGGCCAGCTTCAGCAGTTTTAAAAAGGCTTTTTTACATATTGTTTTCACTTAGGGCAGTGCAAATTTCTCTGGAAATCTATGACAATCAATTAAGTAAATGAGAAAATAGAATGCTTGTAATTAAGATAATCAAGCTACATGAAATCCACCCTACTAGTGCTAATATCTATATATCTCCAAGCTGTATATTAATTAAACACTATGCAAGTGTTGCAATTAGACAGGCTGCTATGGTGAAAACGAGAAAAATGAACATGATTGGAGGGGTTTTTACTGTATGTGAAATTCTTAGTTGTTTTAAAGCATCTCATTATGATTTGTAAGGTTGCTGCAGACACTCCCGGGATGCCTGAGGACTCTAGCAGGCTTCAGCTGCTTCTGAAACAGGTGACCCAAAGAAAATACACTTTGGTTTGCAAAAGCTACGTTTCTTCTCAGGGGTGTGTGTTTGTTTTCCCACCAATTTCATGAATGAGCTTGTGTTGTTGAGCTCTGAAACCAGTAGTCAAAGAGGTTAGATATTTCATTCTACATAGGAAACTGCAAAGGGGAGAATGGAGAGAGCGTAATTATTCTGACTAGTGCTTACAAGAAAAGGGTCTCTGTCCTGCTTTTATGTTATTTTGTTTTGTGGGTTTTTTTTATTTTGATGTGAAGGCTAAGGTCACCCAGGCCTTCCTACTGGACAAAACAGCATCTTAAAATACTTGTACTGGGAGACGAGCGCTACATGAGAGTAACTGGATAATCTGGGTGTATGCAGATTGTGATTCTTCGTTTATTTCCTGCTGCTTTTGGGGGGCCTGGGGAAGCAAAAGGCTTTGTCAGCATATGGCTCTGAGAGGCCAGGGGAGGACCCCTTCCCTCTGTGTGGGTACCCTCCTGGTGGTCACACAGCGACTTCAAAGTGAGTTTATTGTGGTTTTATGAAATGTGGGGTTTGGGACATTTGTGCTTTCTCTTTCTTCTGCGTGTAGCTTTTGATGGCTGCAAGCATACGCATTAAGGTACCATGGAGGTAGCGGAAGAATCATGTTGCAGGGCCAAGGGAGTCAAATGGCTTTGCCGCCTTAGAACTGCCAAACTTCGGTCTCGTTAGCTGGGGATGCCAAAGCAGCTGAATAGGGCAAAGCAGATGATGAACCCATCTGCTAATTTGCCAAATGTTGCCATAGCTGTTTTAAGATTAAGTCTTTGGAGTCAAATGAAGAGGTACACCTGATTAGTGTGGACATCAGCTTGAAGGAGTTGTTGCACAAATAATGAATAAAAGTAATATTTTTGTTGTGTTTATTTTTCCAATTATTTTTTTAAAATCTGCTTTTACAGCACAATATTCTTTCTTATGACAAATAAGCCTATTCACTGACACTGTGTCTTCAGATAATACCATTTACATCTTTAGAAAGAAGTGAAGAAGAAAACTGTACAGGACACCTTCCGTTTTTCTTTTGACTTTGTTCTTAATTTTTTTTTATTATTTGACATTGATACAAAAAAATAGTATCTTGATTAGCAGCTTTGCTGGCAATCCCACAAAACTGTAAATAATACTTTAATCTAAAAGAAAGCACTCCTACAGACACTATATAGATAAAGCAATATATACAATTTAGACAAATAAATACATAAGTACAGCCAGTCATATATAATGATACACCTAAAGTTCGGTTACTGTTGACAAGATTTTTCTAGTTAATCACACTCTTCATTTACAAATTGCTGCCATTGCCTACATTATAAAGACAAAAAAAATCCCAATAGAGAATAAAAACTGATAGTTGTTGTTGTTATTATTATTAGGAAAGATGGAAAATTAACCTTGAAACTTCTGTTTAAATACTCTCACAGTTTTAGCAAAAAAAAAAAAAAGCTTTTGTGAAAAATTCCTCCTTAAGAGAGGCATTTCCCCCCTAGCTTCTTTGCTCAATGTGCTTTGTTCATGTATGTGTTGGAATAAAAATGTGATTATAGTCATACTTTTGAAGTGACTAGAAGCCAGCATGTCTTAACCAAGTTGTCATTTGTCCCATGCCTAGTGAAACAAAATGACCTTTAAGTAACATAAATATTTCTTTTGATTAAAGGAAGCCCAATGCGAACACTTGTTTGTTAAAAGTACCCCACGTGGCACAAATGCTACTGGGTGGAAGGGACAGTAAGCTGTCCCTATGAGCAGATGTATCACTCCCTTTCTAGCTCCAGGTTGCAATACTGCAATTTCTGAGCAAAGAGAAAATAATACACCTGTTATGTAAGTGTAACAAGCTAGTGAAGTCTAGTATGAGAAAATTAATAGAAAATTAGGGTTTTGTTGTGTTCTTTTAAATTCACTTGACAATAAAAGAAAAAAAAAATCTTGTACATTCAAAAGTTAGGGCACACATGCTTAAGGCTCCTGAAACACGGGACAAATATAATGCCTAACTCAGCTCCATGCATAACAGAATGCTACGTAGCAAGCAGACTCTACATATATATACAGCTGAAGACAGAAGAAAATGCCTTAGAAATATGTACATCAGTTCCAAGATGAACATTTACATTTCTGTTGAAGATCTATCTATTTATAAATGGCAGGAAATACATTTTTTTCAGATACTATTTTCCAGGTGTACCTTCCAGTCGTTAATGCAGTCTACTTGTACGAGGAGAAATTCAAGGCTACCATGCTACTCGAGCCCTGAGGTATCTGGATTGGGAGCCCTGCTGTCCTCTTGGTTACTAACCAAAGGCCACAGAAGCGTCAGCAGGAGAAGTAAGGCCACCAAATCCATTCGGTTGTGGATTCAGAAACCCCAAGTAACTGCACAGTGCAGAGGGATAGCAGAAGTGATTGCAGCCTGTAGGTTGAAATTATTACAGTGTGTTCCCGGTAGGACGGCATCCATCTGTCCGATTTACCTGAGGGCTGGGGATGAATTCCACCCTCGTTTCCCTTCCTAAACCGCATATTCTGGGGCTTGGGTAAGGAAAGCTAAACTTCGCCCAATCAGTGTGTGTATGTGTTATATATTCATCTATGCAATTAGTTGAATCTTGTTTAGCTAGAGTTCCAAGTTTGACAGGAAGCAAGAGCAACTTTAATAAGGACTAGGTCAACTAGGGAAGGATAAATCTTAATTATGCTGTAAGAGATTCAGTATTTTTATATAAAATTACTGATTTTCATTTATGAAGGATGCACAAGCTCCTGTTGATTAGCAGTAACTCCTGGGCTATCTGTTGCGTAGCTTTACCTTTCGATCTGAAGTAGATTTGATTGAGACGCCTACTACTGCTTGTGGCTTGAAGGCCAGGTACGCTTTACCTTATTTACAAGTAGTTCCTTTCACAATGATAATGCTGCATCTGTGAATAAGACTAACAATTTGTCATGAAACTGCAAACCTTTTGGGGTAGCATCTTCATTCCTCTGTTACTGTTGTAAAGTGCTGTGTACACCTATGGCAAAATCAGGTCAGAGTTTTCCTTTAAATTCTTATTCAGTTAATTTCTGACAACTTTATAGACATCCTGAATAACATACAGACTTAACAGTTTTTTATATGTTACACATAACGCCAGCTGAAATGAATGAGGCTTTCGTGTGTGCTGTGGATGGTATGAGTAATCTGCAGCTAATAATATATTTGGTGAGATTTGTATCTTTAACTTGTCTATGAATTCTTCATTCCAAGTTATTAGCTGAGCAATGTCATATTTTAGCTTTGTTAGAAGGTGGTGCTGAACAGAAATGGCTTGAATTTATCGAAGAATTTTTCAGGAAATAATTTTCATGACACTTCATTAACATTCATATTCAAAACACATAAGCACATTATTAAACTTGAATGAAATCTTGTGTATTTGATTTCTGTCTCATGTTTTGGGGATCTCTTGAGTGGGACATCCGTGAGTATTGGCTCTGTGATGAGTAACCTGGGAGCTGCAGATTTGTAACAGAATTTGTAGAATTTGTTTTTCTTTAATAGGTCATTCTTAAAAGCCCTCTATTTTGCAGTGAAAGTTGTACATAACTGTTATGTACTCTGCCCAATCAACAGAAAATTGATTCCATTCATTTATTTGACAAAATTCTACTTTTCTACACTATTAAAAATCTGGTAGAATCTCATTCATATATGTGCTGTAGCAAAAAGTAGAGCTTACCCAAAAAGCTGCTTTTGTGTTACTTTATTTTAGGTAAATAGCGCACTGACTGATGTTGAAGAAATACGCTGCTTATTGACACTTTTATTGTTCAATATAATTATATATTGCTATGCAAGATGCTTAATGAAGAGACCTACTGATACTAATGAGAAACATTGCACTTGCTTTGAACTTAAAAGATATTCATACTTTTATCATGTATTTTTAAGATTTTTTTTCATACATCTCCTGTCTTATTTCACCTACAGATTCTACTTCATTTTAAAATTGTATTAGATCTTTTAGGGGCTACTTTAGGCAGTGGAAAGAAATGGCATATCTTCTGAAATAATTTAAAGGAATACCATTTGGTGGATAAAAATATACTTCAGTGTGTGGGTTTGTTTCTAAGGCCTATGAGACTTTGATGTTCTTACCTGTCTAAATTCTGCTGTTATACTAACAGTAAGCTGTTTGGGAATTGCACACATTGTACTATAAAATATACATGTCAAGATAGGTGTATAAGGTCAGTGCAAATGTGTACCGCTCAATTTATTAACAAAGCTCTAAATAAAGATGGTTGTAGGGTGTCAAAAAAGGAATAAAAGTATATTTGTAATTCTTCATTTCTTAGGGCCTGAGTCTTATCTCAGAGGCCGGGGCATAAACTGTTAAGCAGCTCATGATAGTTTATTACTGTCCTTTTACACGCAGATGCGGGAGCTGATATGTGTGATAGAGGATAATATAAAAAATCTGAGGTTTGACTCGATGCTTTCGGTTGGTGTAATGTCCTTATGAAAAGAGCCTGAAATCTGTAAACCAGTAGTCAAAATGAGAATGAAAAATCAGTCATTAAAAGTCCTCTCACAGTTAATATCCCACAGTTTAACCTGTAAATCAGCAGATCGCTTTGTCAAAAAATAACCACGCTAAACAAAATTAAAAAAAAAAAGGTATTTACATCTGTAAAAATCTTAACATCTAAGATGTTTCTTGCTGGACATGTCATTCCAAATTCTGTGCATTTCTTCCGGTGTTATCTGGTGCACTGTGATCACCCTGCGGTACCTGCACAAGCTGTAAGCCATTTTCCAGTGATTGAAGCCACTGTTTTGGAAGGGGTGAATGCCCAGCTTCCGAAGACAGAGTCCAACGTACACGTCTTCAAGATGAAGAAGTCTGGTATGAAGGGAGGTTTTGTAAATCAGTTCTGCTACGTCAGCTGAAAATATGTAGCCGGTGCCTGAACAGAAGGGTGGATAATTGCTGTCGGGATACAAATCTCTTGGCATGTACCACTTACTGCGAACATCTCTTATTGGTCCTCCGTTTATAACGTAACCTGTGAAGTACCTTCTCCTTGGCTTGGTGTTAGGTTTGAGCAGCTTATAAATAAGATTATCCATGTTTACAAAAATATCACTGTCTGTCTTCATAACGTACTTTGCTTTTGAACAAAACGTTGCTACCCATCTCATCCCCATCAACGTTTTCAGAGTGAGGTTATGATAAGAGTCGATAAAATCCTCCACAATAATGTCATGAAAAATTTGGCTTTCTTGCTCTACCATTTGATTTAACACAGGATCTGCATTTTTTCCGAGAAGAAATAGCGTGGCGATTTTAATTCCTTTAAAGTTGTTTTCGTCTCCCCATGTTTCTCGAATGGCTTGCCTTGCATCAAACTCTTTGTGAGTTGTGCTGATAAGAATGACCAAGAAAGGGACACTCTTCTCACATTTGTTGGGTTCGTTGATAAGAAAGTCAAAGGAATGTGGATTTATAGGTCGAGTTCTTATGTTGCCAAAGGAAACATTTTTTCTGGCTATAGATATGCTACTGAGCTGTCTGTGGCCAGTGTAGGAAGAAGTAGGGCGAGTTATACTTAAGTACCAAAGAGCGCTTGCCCAACAAACTACTGTCAAAACATATAAGCATGAGACCTTTGAAGCCATTGTTCCTCTAGCTCTTCTATTCTGTATGATGAATAAATAGCCTTCGTACCATGAGCACACCTGCGTCCCAGAGAGGCAGCATATTATTAATGAAACTTGAAAGTTCGATATAGAAAAGTAACTCTGTAATCATTCATGGATCTCAAATAGGAGCTATTAACCCTGATGATACTCAGCTTTTCTTCTTTTACTAGCAGCGACTTCCATTTCTTGGAATTTTCTGTTATTTCTGAAAAATATGAAGAAAAATTTTCTATTGCTAGATCATAAAAGCCTAAGGCAAGAAAAATGAGCTTAAATATGACTGGCCGTTAATAAGCTAAGTGTCTTAATGCATTTCTTGGATATCTTTTTTTTTTTTTCTCCTCATGAGGTACCATAATGCAAGATCGTATACTAGAATATAGCAGTATAACTGAAGTAATGCTTTTATGATTGATAATTTCTCATAGATGATAATACATAAAAAAAGTTGAGCATGCATAGCATGTTGGCTATTCAGGTAATTTTAAAGGTATATGAAAATAATTTTCTGGTTTCTAGCATTTTCTTGCTTCCTAGCATTTTTTTCTGGACAATCTTCCAAAATATGCCATGGAACATTTAAAAATTATTTAAAGAATGAAAATGTACTTTATCTTAGAATTAATAGCATCGGTGGCAACCATGCATGTGAATACCTACAGATCCCATTTGGTCTGAATGTTGTTAATGTCTGCCCAGCTAACAAGAGCACGCTTTGGTAGAAATCAGACAGAATGGGACCGATTAGTAAAGGTACAGGAGAGAAAGAGAGATACATATGCTGTCTTACCCATGTAAAGATCAGCGCCCGAGTAGACTCCATAAAAGTCTAGAAATAAATTAACACAGTTCAGTTATTCTTGTTGGCTTCCTTCTCCTCTCCCCACAAACCAGTCTTTACTTTTCATGAGCAAACATCATTTGTATACCACATAAGATAAATCACGATGGCACCCTATTAACAGTGTCACTTTGCTGGCCGGCGTGCCAAGAGCGAAGAGCACTTGCCTACCCAGCCAGGGTTCTTGCACTGGCAGCCCTTCCCCGCTGCTGTGCCAGTCCTGCCTTTGGCACCGGGGAGCTTTGAGGCTTCCCTGGATCCAGGGAATGTGCCAGCCCTGAAGCTTCCTTTGCTCTTAGCATGTTTCCTGGGAAGCAGTTCTGTTTATCATCATTTCATGGAAATGAGACAAGCTGCATGAAGCCTGCTGGATCAGTGCTGCCTCCTCCAAGGCACACCAGTAGGTGGAGAGTGCCTGTAGGCTCCACGTTCCTGGGTTTTGCCATTGCTTCAGAGCTAAAGGATAGTAGAAGCATGCAACAGATGAGGTTTATGCAAGAGTCTTTGAAATATTTAATATTTACTTTGGGTAGAACGAAACATATATGGATTCAGATTAAAAGATAGAAGCTCTGTCTTAGAAAGGTCCTTTCTGTTTCCACACCTCTTTGACACGTTGCTTGGTTTACATCAAAATGTTTTTTAAGGAGCCTGCACCTCCCCCACGTTGGATATGTACGGTCTCTTTTTCCTTTCTTCAAAAGCAGATGAGAGTGTGGCCCTGGATGTGACCCTGTGGCAGGGTCCCCTGCCAGGTGATCTGTTGCTTAGGGTTTGTGCAGGCAGGGCCCCCCCCAGGGAGGCTATCAGAGTTAAAGGACTGTTATCCTGTGTTACTGTATCACACTGAGGTGTAAAAACAGCAGAGAAACAATCTTAACACTTGCTAAATATATACAGACTATACTATCCTTATAGATTCTTACAGCTAGCACTGTCCTTGCTAGTCGTCATTACATGCACTTTTAGCTATTTAATGACCAGAATCTGCATACCTCTCTCCCCTTCCACGAAATAGGAAAATGTGAATTTGTGGCCTGTTTCAGAGCTTTCTCTTTCAATCAGTTTTGCCCTATAACTGGGGCAATTTAATGAGGTAGAGGGTGACCGTGATCTCCTTTGCTACTTGTCACAGGACTTGGGGTTTGTGATCTTTCCCACGAAGCAGTAGCAGTAAACATTTGGGAGCAGTATATTTAAGTGAGGCCTTTAATTGCCCCATAGGACTGCAGAACACAATGATCTTGGCATGCACATGTACATCCTTGTAAATAAATACAGTTGTGATAAATATATACACAAATGCTACTGTAATGTCTGGAGAGAGGATGTGTCCTGCTGGGGTCACTGGGACACAGTTCTGAGAAAGGCAAAACACATCCGTGGTCTGGTAGGTTGGGTTTTTTTCTGGCTTCGTTCTGAATCTCCAATAACCACCCCCACTGGAAACCCCAGCGGGGCAAAACACGAAGTGTGAGATGCCATAACGTAACGAAAACATAGGAGTGTAAGGTCTAGAAGACTGCGTTAATAAAGAAATACAGCAGTCATGGATTGGAGATGTAGAGTGAGAGCTATGTAGGTCAGTGTATTTAATGGACTCGAGCATTAAGGTCTCACAAATATTTCTAATATTCTGTATATGATGAATTATTTTAGGAAACTATATATTGCATTCTCTAAAAGTGTATATTCTTCTACATCTTTTCTTTATTAAAGGCGGGTGTATTAGTTACCATATAGTTATTAGTTACCATATTAGTTACCAGAATACTGTGCAGATATCTGAGGGAAGGAAAATTGTAACCAGTGCTTCTTACAAACTGCAAAATTACATAAAATAGCTTTTTAGTCCAGCAATGTCACGGCTGTTATGTCCAATCTTGTGTGCTCTGAAAGGATTAGAAGCAACAAAAGCCTTACACCATTTTGAAGAAAGATTCCAAGCTGTTGTAGGGAATTTTTTTGCTCAGTTATGAAATCTACAGGTAACTGTCCAGGATGAATATTTCTTATATTGGCCCTTGGATTGCTGTCTCTTGAAATAAGTTTATCTTTTTCTCTTGTATGTTTGTTTGGGTTTTGTTTGTTTGTTTTGCTATTTTTAAATTAAAATAAGAGTTTAGATGGTGTTCGTCAGTTTGGAGTGTTTTCCACCATTCCTGTGGTATTTTTTTGAACAAAGCGCAGGTGAAGTGGTTAAGAGTGAACTGGCTGTAGTTTTCCTGACAAGTGAAATTTTAGATTTAATTATTTTTTAGGAAGATTGAGAGGAAAAACAAAAAGAGAGCTCCCTGCTTTCCTGTGATGGGGGTGTCTGCTATTACTACTCTGCTTAAAGTTTACGTTCCTGCTTTACCTGAGCTTTTTGCTATATATGGGGAACGGATTTGGAAGAAAATAGCACAAACAAAATTGGCAAATAGCGCAAATACAAAATTTGCTGAGGAGTCTTGATCTGCTATTTTAGCTGAGATTATTGTCACCTTCAGGACTGATCTCTCATTCTTTGTTGGATCATAGAGGAGGGGGTTAGATAAGTAGCTATGTCGTGTATTTTTTAGCCCATAGGGCAAATGCTCCTACAAATTATTTCTGGTAACGTTGTTCCTGCACAGTGATTCCAATAACGTTTAGCTTGCACAGGCAAGAAAATATATAGCTTGATTAGATGGGGAAACATGGACTAAGTGGTGAAATACGTATTTTGTGATGATTTAGCAGTCGAGCATTTCAGAGAGTGCCAAATTCTGTTATTAAAGATGATGCTAATTCATCAAGGACCTAAACAAGTGCCTAACTCAGACTTACCTTCAACACAGAGTAATCCTAGGAATCTTGCAAAATTATTCACCCTATCAAAGTCTGTGACAGCAAACCTTTTCCTTGCCATGTGTTGTCACCTGAAACTAAACTCTGCAGCCATGCAATATGCGGGACTTGTGTATCAAGCATGTGAATTACAGGGAATTAAATCAGAGTGTAAAATTAATGTGCTCAAATTATAGTGTGTTAAAACTTCTGTGTTAATTACTCATTTGAAGAAGAGGAGGAATAAAGTATGTGAACTAAGGTCACTACTTTCATCCAAATAACAACTGAAAGCACGTCAATGCCTGCATGTTATTGTGGTTCCTTTAGCAGTTTGCCCAGAAGTTCTTCAGAACATTTTAAACCTAGTCAATAGTACATATATCAAAAGCTGCCTTAAATATTAAAATGTGTAGCAAATTCATTAACATATTACGTTTCTAGTCCTGATGCTGGATTCAGTATATTGTCACTATAAGGATGACTCTTTTTTAGTTTTGCCATGATGCTCTTGAATTTGGTGTTGAAATTTGAAGACCTTCTAACAGCAGGATATGGGTTGTCACAGGGACAGCGGAAAGCTTTTATCAGCTTTGGATTTTGTGTGTTGGGATAGGGTTTGTCACGTTTGGGGACAGCAGCACAAAGGGACGTGTTCTCTCCTTTCCTCTGTTCTGTGGGGTGAAAGAAAGCTTTTTAGCAGGGCAGCAGCAATGTTAAGCTCTTGGATCCTTGTTTTTAAAACTGTTTTGATTTAATCTGTCTCTTTTCCCAACCTGGCTGCCATACTATTAGTAATCAAAGGCTCAAGCTTTGGTGGGGTAGATGATTGTAAAAAGCAAATGTTTAGTGTTGTGTTTCCATATTGTGACTCGAAGTTGTGCACTTAATTGTGCTATTCGCAGCTCAAGCTGTGCAAGCCAGAGAAGCCACCCCGTCGGAGCACAGAAGCAGTACCGTGTAACTTCTGTAAGTAATTGACCTGATGGAGACTGTGAGTATTCACAGCAAACCTTTTAAGAGCTGACTGCACATCAAGAATAATCCTCCAGATACTGAACACGTTTGAGAATCTTGCTAACTGTTCATGGGCAATTTTCAGGCAGACTTCAAATGAGTTCCGCAAACGTTACTTGCCAACTGCAATATTTTGCCAATATTTTGGAATGCTGCTGTCTCTGCTGAGAGGTTGTTGATCTCTTTCTTTCAAGAAAGCCCATCCTTTGTAAGTGCAGTTGCATTAATGTAACTAGATCACGGTGGATGCGCATGATAGAAACCACAGCTCTTGAAGCCTGGCGTGTTGCCATCGTTGTAATCCATACTGTGTCGCAATCTACTGCTGAGGCATAATGTAGGTGCTGAGTGGAGGCAGTCAGGATGCTGAGCCCTGGGTATGGCCCCGGGTGAGAAGCCAAGGAAGGCTGCAGCTGCTCATCCTGACACCCAGGAGCCTGTTAGGCAGAGCACGACTGAGTCAAACTAACAGTGTGCATGTCTGCCAAAATTTACCTATTCTTTTCCCTGAAAAAAAAAAGAGGGAATGCAGCTGCTAAATTATTTAGTAAATGTAGCAAACTCTTCTCATTCTCCCTGAAGAGAGATTTTTGTAAGAATTTCCTATGATCGTGGCTTTCATCTGTATATAGACCAAGACACTGAAATGTCTTCACCATTTATGAAGTCCTTAAATTACCTAAGGAAAAGTCTGTGATTATTACCGAGTCTGGTTGAGAAGATAATTATCCTGAACATTAAGAACACATCTATGAAGAAATCTGGGGATGCTGTTATGTTCTTGGCTGTATGTTTTCACAGTAATTTCTTGAGGAAATTCTGGACAGATGGCATAGATGATTTAACAGGAGATTGCAAGCTCCTCTCTGGCAACTTCATTTGAAGGTTTCTTAAATATTCTAAATGCTTTTGCTGTGCCTGGGTGTAACGGACCTGAAACCAAATCAGTGCTGCAAAGGAAGACCTTCCTCTCTAGAATGTATGTGGAAAGGGACTGTGATAGATGTAGGAGCCACAGTCTCAGGTTGAGGGGAGGAAAGTACAAGTATTCATTTCAGGTCCATGTTTTTTAGAAAAATCAGTTCTTCCACTTTGGGGGGTCCCAGCTGTCATATGTTAAAAGAGGCTGGCTTCCCTTCTCTTCCTTTGAAGGCAACAAG